GATGCTGTTGAGAGCCACGCCTTGTACAATTTCCAACTGCTTGATGGCAGTAAAAGCGATTTATACTTTACGAAAACTCCATAAAAAAAGATAGGGAAAAAGTGCTTAAACCCTTAAGGATGGGGGCTCTCCAATATAAACAAAATAAACTAGTTATATTTAAGGACAGTTTTCACTTTTTTTGGCAAATGAAGAGCATCTATCTTGGGAGAACAGCTACCGGGATTCTATACTTCATGGCGAATAAAACAGGTCCTAATTTCCTTATACTTGTGGGAAGATCAGTTCAGACTGCCTTAGGTGCTACCACTTTTAAGTGCCTCGGCATGAGATCGTACAACGTACTTATGTTACAAGGCACTCCCGAAAACGTGCGCTACATCATCTGCTTAGACAGTTGGTATTCTAATGCTGTCATCATTGTCCCATTTCGTATGCAGCTCTTTAACGGCTAAGAAGACATTGAAGAGCAAACAAGACACTGCCTAACAGATTCTTTATTCTAACCTTGTGTTTAAGACGTGGTTTCTCGATATAGTAGCTTTCATAGTTGACATAAAATATTGGGGATTAGGCATTTTAAGTCAGGTTTAAACTCCAATTCTGCCAAACTTTGGCTTTCATTGCCGCCGGAAGAAAGGTATTAAACTCATTTTTTTCTTCAAAATGGTTTTCTACGGCCGCTTTCATTTCATTTCGCCTGAAAATCTTCATCTCTGTAACTCATTTCCTGAATTCTTAAAAAAGGAAAAAGTCACTGACAGTCAGGTCTGGATGGATGGTCAATTTCTGTAAGTTCAGTAGCTTTTAAAGCATGCCTCGGAACCTGAGTGGTCTTGAAGGAACAACACTCCGTGCGTTAACTTGCGGCGTCTCCTCGGTACGATGAGTCTGACTCAGCAAATTAGCGTAATATTGGATTTACCGGGGTGAGTGATGTTGCTTTCTTGCTCACTGTCTTATAAGCGAAGACTTCTACTAACTTTGTTATAAAAATGTCTTCTTGATACGCTCAGGTCAGACAATTGTCTGGTCTACCAGTGGTGTCTCACTGTTTCTGTGTATCGTAATTGTCAAAGAGCAAAAGCTCTTATAAAGCAGATTGCACTAAGTTCGTCTTCGAAGATTCAGGGAGCTCTAAGTATAAACACAATATAGTTCCCAGTCCGCACTCCTCAGTTCGTACTAAGGAGCCTGTCCAATGCGCGTGTTAATCCTAACTAAATTTCTTTTACTAGAAAAATTCGCAATTTCCTATGAATATATTTTTCCTTCTTCACTGATTCTTAAACTTTCTCTTTTGGTATAAATAAATTATGCAAAAATATTCAGCCTTCCAATAGCCGTGCGCAATTACACACTTTAACTCGATATCGCGCTTATTAACCTCATTAACCAGTGATTGCTCAAGTCTGAGGACCGTAAAGAGAAACCAAGAAATTCGCTGACAAAGCAAACAAGGAAAAATTCAAATTACTTTCAAACAGACACGAAAGACAAAAACGATTTGCATTAATGCCTATTAATACGCATTAAGTGCTACCAGCATATGTACGTGAGTAAGTAAGTATGTGTGTATGCGTCTTCATGTATATTAAGGCACACACAAGCAAGCGACAAATACAAATAATTAACTCAGAGCAATTCAACGCCAATAATTCATTCGTTCAAAGGCACTTAAGTAGCCGCGCATGATAAATGCGATAATTAATGCGAGATGAGCAAGAAGTAATCAAAAAAAAAAGAAAGCAAAGAAAGAATGAACGGCACAGCTGTAACACATTACGATCGTGAACATTAAATAAGTAATATCGTAAGTTTTTGTCAAAAACATTATTTTGTGCTTTTTTCATCGGGTGCAAATGTGAGAGCGATATGTTGTTGTTTAAAATTGTATGAATCCGGCCGCCCTGAGACCCGCCATCCGCCACCCGCCGTTGGCAACAGTAGACCGATATAGCATTTCGGACAAACCTACAGAAAACATTAAAAATTTACAGAAGTAACGGAAACCTCAAGCGAGCTATTTTTTCCATTTTTTTTTTTTTTTTTTTGTACTTTGCCCGAAAGTAGGGCGTAGATATGGTGAAAACATTTTCATTTTCATTTTCATTTTCATTTCCATTTTCATGACGGCATTTCAACAATTCGCAACGAGAATTAATTACCATATTTATCATTGAGACAATAACGTTGCCGGACAAGCGGAAAAGACTGGAAAATGATTGTGTGCGTGCGTTTTGTTAACGGAATCACTACAGATATGTACATACTCGTACATGTACCAGTGGTCACTGTACGGCGGAGCGTGAGAAAGGGTTTGGCTGCTTTTGTAATGCGAATATGAATTGGCGTAAATGGTCACGCTATAAACGAAGGATTTACGTTGAAAGCCAACAAAAAAAAACTCAAACAACAACAAAAACTCAAACAACAATAATAATGATGACAATGATCACGTCAAAGTACGAATGTCGACCGCAAATGTCTGCAGCAGCAATAAAGCGCGCGAGACGCAGCAGGCGTGGAAGCAGCAGTGAAAAAACGTCTAAAGCAACAATAAAAAGCGTCCAGTTGGCTGTAAAAATAAGGGGGAAAAAACAAGTGAAATTACTTAAAATAAAATAGTTGTAAAAAGCGAACAAAATTGCAACAATAATTGCAGTAATAACAGCCACACTCAAGTGTTAAGCCCCGCAGAAGAGCAACAAAAAAAAAACAGAAAGAAATATAGTAATAATAAGAACGGAAGGTCGCAGGTCAAGCGCCATGCATAAATATTTGAAAATAATTGCATCATTTAGTTGAATAAAGGTGTGGAGGCTAGCGACTGTGCGACGATGGTGCAAGTACTTGCATTCATAAATTCTATTGAAGAGATAAAAGTATATTTTTCAGCTGCCTTACTCAGAACGCAACCACAGTAATTAGTCTGCCTTTTAACACTACACCGCAGCTTACTTAATCATGGCAACATTAGCTGCATTCTCTGGTAAATGCCTCACAAAAAAAAAGTCACAGAATTACAGAGCACAGTGTATAATGAGAGTATGTAGGGAACATATGTCCAGCTCGCTGAAGGGCGGAGAACATGGAACACCTGTATGTGACGAACTCGATTAATTGGCTGCCTATGGAAGAGTTTGAACCGTAAATGCCCGTCTGAGAAACAACAAAGTGGCGGGGCCGTTGAGTTGCCTACCGAGCTATTCACATATGGTGGCGAAGAATTGATGAGTAGGAGAACGAATGAGGGCGCATAATATGAATGGAAGCACGACCGATCATTAGAACCTAAATGTGCTTTGTCCAACCCATTAAAAGTAGGTCCCCACAGTCTGCGACAGTTAGCGGTAGATTAGCCTCCTCAATCTTAATATAAGTACCTACCGAGAGCACTGTGTGAAAGACTAAATGCAGCTCTCAGCGAAATGGTTAGGTCTTATCAGTGTGGTTTCAGATATTCATCAAATTTTGGAAAATACCCTATGATAAACGGAAATCGATATACGAGATGTGTTCAAAAAATGTCGCGTATTTTGTGTTTTTTCAAAAATTATTTATTTATTCATTAATATCTAGTTGGTCCCCTTCAAAGTAATCCCCATGAGATATTCTACACTTGCGCCAACGTTTTTTCCAATCTTCGAAGCACTTTAAAAAATCATTTTTTTTTTTTATCTTGTTCGGCTCCTCCTTCGATGCCGTCTGTATCTCGTCAATCGTAGCGTAACGTCATTCTTTCATAGTCCTCTTCAGTTTGGGGAATAAGAAAAAGTCACGGGGGGCAGATCTAGGCAATACGGTGGCTACAACATCATTCGTGTGTTGTTTTTGGCCAAAAAGTCGCGCACAAGCAACGGTGTGTGAGCAGGGGTGTTATCGTAGTGCAAAAGCCAATTTTTGTTCTTCCACAAATCCGGACGTTTCTGGCGGATTGCTTTGCGCAAATTGCACATAACTTGCAGGTAATATTCCTTATTAATCGTTCTACCATGTGGCAAGAACTCATGAAGCACCACGCCCCTGCTCGGGAGTACGGCACGCTCATCGTCGTTCACATCTTCTCGGCCTTCTGAGAACATTTTATACCACCAATCAACGTTGCTTCGTTCCAAAGTAGCTTCGCCGTATGCCACAGTCAACACTTGGAATGCATCCGCGCACTTAGTCTCATTTTTAACACAAAATTCGATACAGGATCTTTGAACCATTTCTTTGAATAGGCAAAAATCGAAGACCATCCAAAACACGTGCAAGCAAAGCAGCTGTCAACAATTAAGTGAACATTCAAAATGACCGAGCTTATAGGCATTAGTGACAAACATGAGTACCAACATAACGCCACAAAAAAATCGAAATTCGCTTATACTTAACCAGCGAAGATTCAAAATTCGCGATACTTTTTGAACACACCTCTTATACCATCTATTTGGCACTTTTAATGCACTAGGTTGTCCAGCTGTCTTCACGTTGGAGCCCCCGCAAAACTTAAACGGCTGTGCAAACTGACATTACGCGCCGACAGAATCGGCAAGATTATCTCCGAAGCATTTAACATCAAAACAGGTTTCAGACAAAGTGATTCTTAATCGTGTGTTTTCCTTATTTCAATGTTGGACAAAAAAGAATGCGAGCTGCGCAACTGAAAAGAGAAGAAACAAACTTCTTTATTGGCGGAAGCTAATAATATGGATCGATAATGTAAATCCAGTTGTAGAAGTTTCTCTATCCAACCCAGTTGTACACAAGGGTCCACTGCCTCACTTAATAGTTTGATCAAAAACTAGTTTCAACACATTGCAAAGAGCCACATGAAATTAAAGTACCTCAAATATAGAAATAAGTATTTTTTCAAATCTATTAAATTTCTCATGCTTTCAGTAGATCTACAAATTTTATTACCTGCACTACAGGCCATCGAAAATAATTCAAACACACAAAATTCATACATTTTCCTTTAGATACCTGGAACTTCATGCATCCACTTGGTCACTTACCTTCATTGCTTCGCTCCAAATACATTTTGTCCGCCAGTTGGCCAGCACCGTGCGCACTGGTGCCATCAATTCGGCCTCCTCGACTGCCGACGCTCGACAGCATTCCGCCATTATCCATCACAGTCACGCCATGTTTTATCACCTCTGAGTATTTACCGCTGTTTACACCCATGCCACCACCACCGACACCCTTTCCCTCCATCACATCACCATTGGCATTTTTCTTTTGCAAATGATGCTTATAACTTCCAACTGCATCCTCCATACCGAGCACCACATCCGTGCCACCAGCCACTGTAGTCGTCGTCGTATGCTGACCATCCATGCCGGGCGTCAATTGGCCCGCCACATCGAGATGATGATGATGCCGTAGACTGGTAGGGCTCATTGCCTTGAAGCGTTTGTAAATGCAGCAGGTGGTGAGTGCAAGCAACACGGACACACCGATTAAGCCCAACGCCATAAGTGAAGCAGCAACAACGACATTGCCCTGCAGCAGCAATTCGCGTGGACTCGGTCTTTGCACGAGTAAATTGATTTGCACTGCATCCTTGCCGCCGGCATTCTCCGCTACGCACGTATATACACCCTCATCGCTCTTCTCCGCCGCTACAAGTGTAAGACGTGAGATGAACACATCACGACCGAACTCCTTCTCCTTCGTCTGCTCATCACGCAGCAGTTGTATATGCAAACGTTGTGCTTGACCATTGCCGCAACAGCTGACGCCACTGGCGCTGTTGGTGGGCACTGTGTTGCTGCCAGTGCTGCTGCCGATATTGTTGGTCGAGGCGCGATATTGTTGTCTATTGTAGTCCCAAGTGATGACTGTGTTCGGTGAAGCGTGAACACGACACACTAACGTCACATTCTCTTTTGACGTGCTGACGGATGCGCCACGTGCCGGAAATATGATACGCGGCTTACATGCAAACGCCTCTGGCTGATCCTCCACCCATAACATGCCGCGCAGGTGTACGGGGTAATAGCAAGCTGTAGGTGGCGTATAAAGATTCCGCTTCAGCACAAAGTCACGAAATATTTGCAGTTCGCATGTACAATTCCAGGGGTTGGAATCTAATGAGAGCGCGGTAAGACGTTTCAGTGATTCAAAGGACTCCTTCCGCAGGAAATTTAAACGATTGCCATCCAAATAGATTTGCGAAAGGAGCGGCACATTGTTGAAGGACTGCTGACCGATGCGCGTCAGTCGGTTGTATTTCAACTCGACCTTATGCAGGTACTTGAGATTTTGGAAGACGCCATCTGAGAGCGACTCCAAGAGGTTGCCATTCAACACAATCGCACGCACCTTAATCAGACGCGCAAACACATTTGCCTGCAGATTACGCAGTAGATTATTTGACAGGTCCACTTCAATGAGAATTTCCAGCTGTGTAAAGGTGCGCGGATCGATCTGCTGCAGCGAGGCATTGCGCATGAAGAGTTTGTGTAGATTATGTAGGTCAGCATTGAGGAAGGCATTCTGTTCGAGTATCGCGACGCGATTGAAGGAGAGATCGAGCACTTGCACCTCGTTGCTTAGATTCTCCGGCACTGCGTTAAGTGTGAGATTTTTGCAGTCTGCAGTCTTTTTACCCGATTGCCACTTGCAAAGGCAGTCGCCACAATCCATTAGCCAATCGGCTTGCACTTGCGGTGGCATCGTGCAGCAAAGAGCGAGGAGTATGAGAAAGTGTGGCACGGCTTGCAGCAGCAACGGTCTGGTATGAAGTGACCTGGCTGCAGCTGAGAGCGCTGAATTGCGTTGACGAGTTATAAACGCTGCAGTTCTTTCGGTTGTTTCTGAGTGTGGATATTTACTTGCAGCGGCCTTCTGACTGTCACTCACTAACGCTGGCGCCACACAGCTTAAATAGTCAACTTCTTTCTGTTTTCCCTCAATTCGTTGCTGCTGCCGCTGCTGCCCTATTCTCTGCTCTTTATGCTGTAGTTCGTGTTGCTCTACATGCAGTGGGTGCTCGTTGTCACAAATTCGTTGATTTACTTCTGCTCCTTCGACTATTTTTACGTTCTTGTCGTTTTTATTGTTGCTATAATGTAGTTGCTGTTGCCGTTGTTGTTGTTGCTGTTTTAATTTTTGGCGTTTATTGCCGTGCAAACGCATTTTTCCTCTGCTTACACATTCGTTTCGATTTCACACTCGCACCCAACAACAACACATTTGGCTAACCAACGGCATCAGCAACATTTTGGCCTCAGCGCTATTGTGGAGTTATCTCCTCACAACGTTAACGGTCGAGTTTTGTTGCTTTTTACGTTTTTTATTTGCTTTACTTTTATGATGCCAATAATTGTTGTTGTCCATTTAAATTGGTAATAAATTTGATTGCACCACTTTTCACGTATTCATTTCATTTGCTCTTTACTTCGACAATCATCTTCATGGGGCTCAGTTAATTTCAGACGCCTTACACAGCTGGTCGCGACTTTTAGGTGAACAAAGGCTCTTTTATATTTGACATATTCTCTGTAATAAAAGGAAATAAGAAAATTAAATAAATAGCTTCTAGAGTAAATCATAAAAAAGAGAGAGGTTGAGTGAATATTTGAAAAAAATATTTTTTTTATTAAGCGTCAATTTGTTCGATACTTCGAAAAGCAAAATAAGAAAATTGAAAAATTAAAAAATTAAAAAATAAATAAAAACAATTATTAATTGAAATTAATTAACAATTTCTGCAGTAAATATTTATAGTATCTAAGGAAAATTATTTTGAATTGATATTTTACAAAAGAGCATAAAAAATAATGAAAAAAGATTTAAATATTTTTCTAGTTCGCAGTTGGAGCATCTACACTTCGGTCAGAATCACACTAAGGCAACTGAGCCATAATCTGATGAGTCTGTTTCAGGCAATTATCAGACAATTCTCCAAACTCGATGACTCTCAATTTCTTATTTTAATAATTATTTCTTTTTCTTTATATATAAATTAATTTTTTTTTATTTTTTAAATAATATTTTTTTTTTTAATTAATATTAAAGTTTTAAATCTTGTTAGTTAATAGCAGTAAATATATTATTAAATATATTATTAAATATGTTATTAAATATATTATTAAATATTTTCATAGTGATACAAGCACGAACATACGAAGAGTGGCTGAAAATGTAATTAGAGACGGCACATCATCTCGATACTGATAATATCAATTGCGGGACTCATTATTAATTCAAAAAGTCAACACAACTTTTTTATAAGTTGCATTGAAATTTCGTTCCTGGAATAAGCAACAACAGTACGTCAACGGAAACTGGAAAATCTCAAAATTCGGAGCACCGCACAGCAATTAAATTCCTTGCAAAAAAAAGAAAGTACGCCGAAAGAAATTTTTAAGGTGATATCATTAATTTTTTGGGACTCTGCCTTTTCATATACGATGGTGAAAAATGGGCTTCGCTGTTTCGACAAGGAAGAGAGAAGATGAAGCTGACCCCAGCTCGGGGTGCCTAATGACGGGTCGTGGCCGAAGAAAATGTTCAGAAAGTCGAAAAATTAATACTGGCTGATCGAAGAGCTAAATTATTGCAGATAGCAAAAGGATAGCAGAACATTTGAATATGATTGTTCACAGCGCTGGACAAGCAGCATTGATTGGCGGGTTGGAAAATTTTTTTTGGAGTTTGGATGAAATTTTTAACCGCATTGTAACTGTAGATGAACCTCGAATTCATCACTATGAACTCAAGTCCAAACAGATTCAAAGTGGAAAGTCGACGTCAAATATTATGGCTACCATTTTCTGGAATAACGAGGGAATATAATTAATTGATTACTTACCAAAGCGAATGGATATTAAGAGAACGGCCAGTATTAGGCTAATTTGTTCAGTCAGGTGCCTGAGGCAGTCTTACAGAAGAGATGCCTTAAAAGCTACAAGATTTACAAAAATTGGCCATCCAGATCACAGTCCGGACTGGGCTCCCATAGGCTTTTCCCATTTTTACAAATATAAAATGGTATTACGGGGATTAAGCTTTCCAGACGGCATTGAGATGAAATCGGTCGTAGAAAACAAATTTTGGAGAGAAATCTTAGAAATATATTTTTGTGGTACAAAGGCATTCAATTCACCATATGAAAAATGTATTTCACTTGAGGTAGACATTTTTTAAAAATAAAAATTTTAAGTTTATATATTTATTTCACTAAGTACTTGAGGTCACCCCTCATAATGCAATTACCCAGGGAGGATTATTTGAGAGTTGCACACAAATAAAATAATTTTCCGATTATCAAAGCGAAAGAAATTTATGGAAGAAGAACATTAGGGAGCTTAAGGAGAGCTGGTTGTAGAGAATGAAATATCAATGGAGATGGATGAAAATTGGTGCTGCTTTCACCGAGGGGCATTCCATATTTATCGCCTTTTCACTTTAAAAGTGCTCAAATATATATTTTTTTCGTTTAGTCTAACATTGGCGGCGATAGCTGGAAATCTTTTTTCAGATATTTTATGAATATTAAATAGTATATTTAGTTTGTCCGTTGTACATAAGGACCAGAAGAGGAAGAGCAAGAAAATTTATATCGATATGTCCAGAATGATGAGCAGAGTTGATTCATTTATTCTTGTATAACTTTTAATTTTTGATGCTTAACAAACAAACTTTAATCTACATATAAAATGATTTTAGTTTAGAAATGTTGTCACGATTTGAAGAATTTACTGCATTGCTAGCAGGCGATTCCCGGCTTACAACTTTGCTAGTAGTGCACAGTGGAGCGCGAATGATGAATTTAAATTAAATTAAATAAATGTATGGCCTTCAGCGGAAAAACTGAGCTTCACCAAAAATATACGACGTCTCACAACTGTCATTGATGAAGGAAAATAGTGATTTCCCGGAACTGAAAAACAATACATAAATTATACTTATATCATTTGAGTTCGAGGAGAGGTTCGGCCAAAAATCGCTTCAGCGGTTATTAAACCTATTTTATATACATACAGTATGACTCTAAAAGGTGATGAACAGGTGCTACAACACATCAGTGCTCGATGGTCGAGGAGTATTCATCGAAGTTGACATAGAAGCAGATAATGATTATGCAAAGCAAAATCAAAGCCCAAAAAAGTGACTAAAAAGCAACACAAGTGAGCTTGAAAAGATGATACCTTACATATGAGAAAGGTAGAGCTGCAATTTCGGGTAAAACACACTGTGATAATGAGCAATATCTTGATGGATTTACTTAAAAAAAATCGGTAGTTGTAGCTTAAGTTATAAAAATAGTTGCGGCACTAAGCGAGGCACTCAAAAGAAAATAACTTTTAGCTTAAAAAATATACATATATTTTCTTTTGCCAGTGCAAGCTGAATTAGTCCTGGCTTTACCTTTGACTACACATAAGCGCACACAAACTAATATAAATAGAATATAAACTGAGAAACTTCTAAATGGTTTTGTCTATTTTCTTTTTTTTTTTGTTGTTGTTGACGTTCTTGCTGTTAGACGAGCATACATCAGCAATGCGTCTGAGGGCTTAAAAAAAAACACAAACAGAAACAGCAAAACAAACAACAACCGCATTACTTTTGTTTTGCAAATTTTTTCCCACCTCAACAACTTCAGCTGCAGTCTGTATGCTTCCATGAGCTTGTCTTCGTCAACATTTTACTTTGTAATATTTTTTTCTTTTGCTATTTTCTATTTTTCTACTCTTTCTTTCATTGTCTATTTACGCGCTTGACTGCATTTTACTCGTAACCTACATATGCGTTACGAACTCGCTTTTACGCTTTTACTTCTTTCTATTTTTGTTTGAACTCGTTGACGGCAACACAAGACTTTGTTTACTTTAGCTGTCGGCAGGCGTCCATTTAGCTGTTGGTGTTGGTTACTCATACGCCATGGCATGTCTGCGACTCTATTGTCTCATCGTTTGATCAGGTGTATACGAGTACGCGCAAAAGTTGTGATATTTCGGTGTTAGGCACCGAACCTACGTAATGCGTCAGAAATGTTACAACTTTTATTTTGTTTTCAATGGAAAAAAACTGAAGCAGCAAAACAAAACTTTAACGACTGCGGCTAACGACTGCAGCGCTTGGCTAAATGTTTTAGATGAGATATTAGAGCACCATTACTGATTTGCTTCCTGGTACTTTAAGTGCAGAGCAATGCACTTTTACTGGCACTGGGAAGTGTCATTTGCTGGAAGGGAAAAGTTACCATTTATGCCTGATATGTATTATATATACATAGTTGAATACTTTCGACGTCAGCTTTAATTTTAAATTTTCCATTAAGCAAGGCCACGCTGTATACTTTCTTCATTTCTTAAACAAACTCAGTTTGAAATTGGAGAGGTTTCTACAAATTAAATGTTGTACTCATTATCAGCCTTAAGGTTTTGTATTGCATCTGTCAAAGCTTGTAACAAGACGCAGGAAATTTATCAGCTTGGATTAGCTAAAAATTTATGCTTCTTTAGCAGTTGCTTTAACTAAGTTTGTCAGCCGTTGAAAACATGTTGGAGCATGTAAAAAATCTTTGATCTTAGAAGAGGATGGCTCAAATTGGAATTGCTGTACTTTACATCTTGTGAAGACATAAGCTAATAATTTTGACGATTGACAAGTGTGAACTATGCCAGTAATAAAAATAGAACTATACAATCTTCAACATCACAATTATAAGTGAATTTGCTACTAAGAATTTCATCGAAAAATCATCATGACCAAAAATGAATCTCAATCGAAACGCGGTGGATCAACGGAAATGGGGTGGCCAAGCCAGAATTGACGGCCAATAAAGTTTTGCTGTGTGGATTGGCAGGGAATTGTCTACGACGAGCTGCTGCCATACGGCAAAACTCTTAACTCATAACTGTGCTGTCAACAAGTGTACCGTCTGAAGGAAACAATCGCCCAGAAGCGACTAGCTTTGGCCAATAGGAGAGAAATTGAGCTTGGTTGGGAAGATCTTACATATATACCTAATGGTCGCAATCTTTCACTAAGTAACTACCATTTGTTCCTGTTTACGGAGAATATTTTGGCTGCTGAAGAGTTAGCTTCAAGAAAGGGCTGTGAAATTCGATTGACCTAATTTTTTTCCGACGGAGTTAAGAGTCTCTACAGCTGAGGCATAATGATATTACCTTCGAAATGGCAAAAAGTCAGCGAGAAAAACGGCTTATATTCGATAGAATGCTAATTAAGGTAAATAAAAAACGTGTAAATAAAAAATAATGGATTACTTTTTACTAGCCCAAATATTTAATTTAATGCAAGAATAACTTTCGATGTAAGTTCGCTCTGTTCTAAGAAAATTATTGCATATATTTTATAAATATTGAAAAATATAAAAAAAAACAATATACATTCAACGCTGAAATTGGCAGTGAAGCTAAAATTCAAACTTACGAAATCACCAATAACCAAACCATCTTTTTGTGAGTTTGAGAACCATTTCGATCATCGAAAAATTAAAAACCAGAAAACGTGTTCCGCTGCGC